TAACATATTTTTAAAATCAGGTACAGTAAGAACTCATCCATACTAATTAAAACATAAAGAAGCCATTGTAAGCTGAGAACAAGCTGTCTAGTTTAGCTTAAATCAGTATCTATTCCACTATTTGAATGCAAACATATATGTTCTTCTGTGTTTAAATTCATTTATTTACATGTATACGCATATAATATTATGTTCTTCAGCTGACACTATGGAAGGGGACATGGATCTCTCTCACACAACCACCTCTGCCTCCATTGACAAGGGACATTCCTCCAGCTGATCTTCAATGACTTGAAGAAATTCACCTCCACACAGCTCTGGCTGTATGATTTGCTCAGCCCACCAGGCTCCCAAGATCTAAAGGAGAGTACAATGATGGAGCTCAGTAAGATGCACCCCCCAATGCTCCTATATATCTATCTATCTATGAAAAACATATGAAAAAAGTGAAGCAAAGGCAGTGTAAACACTTTGTCACAACGGACTGACATGGTAATGATGACATAGATAATTCAACAGTTTGTTACTGACATCTGACGTCAAGCAGAAATACTGAGGGTTATTGTAAAGGCCTCACTCTTTGGTCAGTGCAGATCCATCCACCCATCTGAAGCTCCCATTTGTTAGATGCAGACCAATCCAGTACACGGAAATAGGATGGTTCATAATGTAAAAGGATAGCTGTTGAGAACGAGATAATACAGAATGTAATGTTTAGCTGCTTTCAGACCTGCACTGAACTCTGGACTTTGTGTGAGAAGGCAAATGTCAGAGTCAGACACATTTTCTGGTGTTTGTCCTGACAGCCCTCTATTAAAATATCTGGAGAACGACAGAGTAAGCCCATGTGAGAAGGAAAATTCACAACGACTGAGTGGACTTGTTTATGACATTTCTACAGACACAAAAAATACAACAGTCTCAGGGTGAAAAGGCAATGCTATTAATGTAGAAGACACCGACAAAGATGTCAAATTGGAAAGAAAAACAAGATAAGAAGGCTATTGGCGATAAGAGCCGATGCATGTGTTGATATGCTGCAAATAAAAACATGTGACTTCCACAGTGGAAATCTGCACATCCTGTCTTGTCTCCTGCACACTGTACCCAGGCGTCTTTTTGCCTGGGTGTTACGGATATTTTTCTGATGTTGTTGATGCTGGATGATCTCCTGCTGCGTTCTTCATATGTTAGAGGCAAACTCAAAAACATTTCTAAAAAAGCCCTTTAACATCAAGAATGTCAGACACAAACATAAAACACAAAGTTACCATACATTACCAGTTCCTGTTCACTGTTGATAACCATCAGGTCAGCTCCTTTACTCTTACAGTATTGTCTGCTTTCCTCCCACGTCGCAGTGTCAGCAGAGACAAAGTAACATCTTGAGTTGATCTCTGTCCAGTCTGTCGGACACTGTTGAGAGGAAACACAACCACTCTGCTCTGGAAGACAAAATAAACAAATGCACATAAGATTCTTATGTAAGTACAAAAATAATAACTCT